GAGCCGGCAAGGACTGCTACTCCTTGGAGATACTGTTTTGTTCAGAAGTATTGGCTGGCTTTAAGGATTCATTTTGTGCACTTGTCACTGATGTCTTGCCTAATATGCTGTACAGATTTGGACTCTGCAATATCTCATCCTTATTTCTGCTGTAACTGATGAGCTATCCTGAGGAATGTGTCAGAAAAAGAGGCTAAATTTAATAGTTTATTTGGTAAATTTAATTGTTTATTCTGATGCAAACTGAAAAGGGGAAAATATCTGCAGCTGTTTCTGCAGGTATTTGAAACAGGGTTTTGCTTTGAAATTTTGTTAACTATCTGCTGTTTATGTATGGTGCTTGACTGATTTTTTTTTTTTTTTTTTTAGTAATGCGTGGTAACTAGCATTTCAGAAATGGGAAGTGCCTTGAGTCAGTGCAACACTGATTTTCCTCGAGGAGAGAATGGTGGTAGAGGCTAGTGGCTATTTCTTGTTCTCTTCAGCAGTGCAGATGTCTGTGAATAAGCAGAAAGGAAAAAACATTGCAGAAATCATTCATTATACAACATATCCCATAGATTTTTGGAAATATCAGTGTTACGCTCTTAGTCAGATTCTTGCACTGGCTGGCAGAGATATTGATTACTCTTAGCTTCAGATCCATGTTTATTTTCAACCAGGTGAGTGCAGCGTTGCTTTCTCCTGGCATTCCTTAAAAGTGCAGTGATATATTGGATACAAGCATTGATTCTGGCTCCAGGGCAAAATTCCCAATGTGTGCAGTAGCCTTCCAGAAGCCAGGGAAAGCTGGCAGCACAACGTTGCTGTCTGTAGCTGGGGTTTTCCTGGGATTGTTTTTCAGCTGAACGTTCAGGGCATCTTGAGCTGCCTTTGTGTGTTTAGGTGACAGCAGGGAATGAGGCCAATTTCTCTTTTTTTCAAGTTGTGGTTCTTGTCTTAAGCTGTTTCAAGCAGGTTGGGGATAACCACGCAGCCATGGCTTGGCAAGTCAGAAGTGCAACAGGTGTTGAATATGGTTCAAGTTTGGGAATAACTCTAGTAATTGATATTAAGAATGATGCCAGCAAATGTTCCGTTGCAGTAGTTGCCTGGAGAGTTGAGCATCTTTTTCCTTGGGACATGACAATTTCTTAATGTCACTTCTGTATTTCAATTTTCATGTACAAAATCCCTGAAGGTAGGCATCTTAGAAATTTTTATGTGTTGTCATACAGGTGATTGATAAACTGTTAATCCCCCTGAGGATTTTTTTTTTTTTTAAGGGGGGAAGAAGTGCTTTAGATCAAGGTATATTATGTTTGTATTTTTAATCATAATTTTTTAAGGTAATCTGTGCTTGACTGTAAGGCTTGAGCATTCTTCAAATCCACAGCTGAAGCAGCACCCCTACTTACCTTCTAAGGTGGTGAGAATCATGAATCCGTGACTGAGAAATAAGGATTTTCTTGGGGCATTTTGAGGAGGCTGGAGCCGCTTAACCTCTTTTGCTCTGCAACAACATTTCAGTGTTGAGTTGCTTTACACTCTCTTTTTTTGTAGCTTTTATATTGGAACTGCGAGAAAGTTTAGGTGCTAAAGCTTGAGTTCTGGAAATTCAAACAAGAAGTTCAGCGTGCATATTTGGAAGACAGCTGGATAAACTGAAGGGTGCTAGACCACTTTGGGGGTGTTGGACTGAAGATAGGAAAGGTTGACATCAATTTTTGCGGTGCTGAGGGCTCTGGCTTTGCATCTCCCATTTTCCTGAATGGAGAGGCTGCTGATTCTTCTGCATTCTACAAAGGCAGGTGAAGTGAGGCGAGACCTTTACCACAGAATGGATGTTACTTTGGGATCCCTCAGTAGTGGCTAGGGAGTGGAAACATCATTATCACTGAGCCTTTCTGATGAGCCCTCGTGCTTTGGAGTGGAAGCAAGCTGGAAGTTGTGTGGGAGTCTCACTGTACGCAAGGGTTCAGCAAAGGGGTTCCCTGTTAAAAGTGAAACCCCCTGTAGAGATGGTCTTGTTGAATGGCACTGAGGCTCTTACTCCTCCTGCATCATGTGGGGGTATACAGTGAACTTCTATCCTGTTGGTCACTTTAATAACCTGTCTTGATGAATGCAGCACACCTGTGATCTGTTGTAGCTCTGGGGGATTTTATTCACTCCTGTTGTGGTTAATATTGCTGCAAAAAAATCGGGCTGGAACCCAGTGTTATTACTATTCAGGGCTTTTTACCCTGAGTGACTGCTTTTGCTGTTTCTGTCTGCTATGATGGAGGTGTAAATCTCTTGCTTGAGCTGCTACAAATCCAGTTCTGAAATAACAGCTTTTTAATTTTGTTTAGTTTTGGATTGGGGTTTTTTCCCCCTCCTATGGAGTTGTTGGCAGAGGTGTGCTTTCTGTTCTAAGATTTTTGTTACACTTGCCGTTTCTGAACAAGCTGTCTTTGAAGTAGCCATCTCTGCTCTTTTTTCCCAATTGCCCAGGCAGAAGTCCAGGCTTCCTGGGTGTTCCCTCTTGTAGTTGCCTCTCTCAACCTCATGTTTGACCCTCATTTAATTGAATGCTCGTGTTGTGCTCTAAAGATAGCTGTCTTTAGTGCAGAGTGAAAAGGTTTTATTGCTACATGTTTATATAGACCATAAGAGATGGGAATCACCTGCCATAAGCTTTCAGCATCTTTTAACAACTGCTCAAAAATTCATCTGAACATAAGAACAAATCAAGCAGCAAGCACTTGTGTTTCTTGCTTAGAAATGGAAGCGGAGAATACTGCTCAGCACACCTAGATGCATCTTTTTGTTGTCTCCCAAGGTCTTGTAAGATGCCTAATGGTCTGTAAGCCAGGCTTTTTGGAACTGAAGGCTGCCAGCAGAGAAGGTGTGCCATGGGCAGAACCTCGTCTTTTTAGGGAAAGTTGTATGCTTCAGGGGGCTGAGTTTGGCTGCTGGAGTAGAATCTCTCAAATAGGCAGTACTATTTTATCTGCTCTTGATTAAAATCCATGCCTTTAAATTTCATGAGCTGGCAATATGAAAGTAGTCTTCTAGACCTCCCCTTGTTGCCCTGCAGTAAACTTCAAGTCTGGTGCCCCCAAAACATGTACAAAGACAAGTCCTTCTGACCCAAGTGCCTTCTACCTGTAAAACAGCTTTTGTCCAGTAGATTCATGGAAGTTTCTTCATCTGCACAAGCCACCTTACACTGCTAGCTGGAAGTGAAGTCCTGTGGTGTTTTAGGCTTTTCATTTTTAGTGTCGCTCTTTTCTTGGACAGTGGTGTTCATATACAGCATGGCTGCCTTGCCTCCCCTGTGTTGCCTGAGCTGTGAGAAGGTGAATTAATGTGAAAATAATGGTGATGTAATGGAATTTTGTATCTTGCTTAAGTGGTGCAAATGACATCTTTTGATGTCTCATCCAAAGTCCTCTGTCTGTTTGTCTTCTCCTCCAGGTTAAATACCTGATTCAGAAGTTCCGTATCTGCTTGCTTGAAAACTGCATGCATTGCTTCCTTTTTCAGCTTTCAGGAGTAAATGCAATGTCTTTTTTATAACAGGTCAAAAGGATTGGTTTAAACTTTGAGTGATCATTGCATTTAAATTCCATAAACTCGCTCTCTTAAATACAAAGACTGCTGAAATTTTCCACTAAATTAAACACTTTTGCTGCAAACAATTCAATTTCGATCTCTTCAAAGCCTTTGAGCAGGCTTCTCTTATCTGGAAATCTTGTTCATCCCATGGTATTTGTATAATCTCAAGACCCATTGTACAGTAATTGATGTGGAGGTTTTATCAAATGGGATATTTAGCTGTGTTGCTTTTTTCATGGCATGTGCTTATGTTTAAGAAATGAAGCTGCTTACATTTCAGGTGTGGCCAGACTGGCACTCAGAGTACTGCAGGCATTTCAGGTTCAGCTGTCTGTAACCTACTTGTGCGTATCTTCTGCTTAAAAACAAACAAAGAAGATAGACTTCTCATCTATTCTTGCAGAATAATTTTCTACTTCTTTTGTCTATTGGTTTTCTCATTCAATCTATTAAAAACAGAGGTGTTTTTACGGCAACTAATTGTAAACAGTTATTGAACCTTACTTAACAAATGTAATATAGAATATTATCAAATGGCAGGACTGATAAGACTGTATGTGGATTTCTGTTGGCACTTGTTTAGAGTATATAACTGATTGCTGTTTTGATTTTTGTTTTATTAAGTAGAGGTGCAGAAATTTCTTCTTCCCCACTCTTTTTTTGAGAGAACATTACATTACATGCTCAAAAATGAATTTCAAAGTTAAGAATCTTTTTTTAATGCAGCTGAAATGTGCCACAGAAATATTTCTCAGTGATACTGTTGACCACTTCCCAAACTTCTGAAAACCACATTTCTTGTGAACTAAATGGTAATCAGATGATTAAATTAAATGACAGCAGTCACTATTTTCTATGATTGTCCCTATTTAAAATCTGCCTTTTGCTTTGCATGGATGCCTTAGGTTGTTGTTTTGTTTTTTTTTTGTGGTTTGTGTTTGGTTTGGTTTTTGGGTTTTTTTTGGTTTGCTTTTTAAGGTGGGTTACATTTCTAAATCCTTGCCTTGCTGTGCATCCACCTTATTTCCTGGCCTCCACCCGTCTCTCAGCTAGTGACTGCCACCATGGCAACTCTTCCTCCAGCTGAACAGATGGGACATTGAGTCTCCTCCGAGAGCAGAGCGTGGCTCACGCCCTGCCGGGAATCAGCTGGCAGGTTGCACTTATTTCTGCAGAATTAAAAGCAAGCTCTGCCCAGCAGAGGCATGCTCGTTTTGAGGGTGCTCAGTTACACAAATAATACCGTAGTCTGGTAGTTGCTTGCAGAAGTAAAACATAGTGACTGAACTGGGATTATTTCTATGCCTGAGAGCTCTTCAGAGGAGCTTTGCCTTTAGTGTGAAGGACTACTTGGCGTCAGCCAGCAGCCGGTGGTTTTCTGGTAGAATGGTTGCCATCAACTTTTTTTTTCTCTTTAGGATGCGTCAGGATGAAACGCCACAGGCATCTAAGCACCAGTGACAGTTCAGACAATGAGAGTAAGTAATACCTGCTAGTTTTTTTTTGGTCTGTCACCCCCTTGTGGTTTCCTTCTGTGGTTTGAGGGAAAACCGTTTCACCTCTTGTAACTTTAAAAAAAAAAAAACAACACCCAAACGTTTTTTGCTTGATTTCTTTTTGCATTTGTGGTCTTTGGTGCTCTGAATTGTGTTACAGGAGGAAAATGAGGCGCACAGTCTTACTAATCTAAGGGTTGTTTTGAGTCTATGTAGAATTTCAAGAGAAACTTGTATATCTTTGCCATTCAGAGTTGCCAAGAAGAAATTTGTAATTCAAGTGAAATTTTACTGCCCAGGGTCCTGTTCTGTAATTATTGTTTAAAAAGAATCCTACTATCTTGTGTTGTGCAGAGCCTCAAATTTAAAATAGGTGGGGGTGGCAAGCTATTAAAGCATTGATATGTTAGAGTTATAATCAGTCTACTGATTGTTACATTATCTTGTTCTTGATTTATTTCACTTTAGTCTGTTAAACAATTTAGTAAAGTTACATTTTAAGTGTTCCTTGGCACACATCTACCTGAAGATCTTCCCTTTGTATCTGCAAAAAACCCAAAGCAGAGCAACCTTGTATGGCGGGGTCTTGTTTGTTTCTTATAGACCTGGGCCCATCTAACAGCTCCATACATAATGATGATTCATTGTCATATTCCCTGCGAGTCATCCATGGATCCTCTACTGAAATAACATTTTGCCCAGAAACGTCTAGATATCCCACTGTTTTTTTTGCATTTCTCATCAGCACACTTTATAATTGTTTTGTTCTTTAGAGGTTGTTTTGAGCACTTGCAAACTCTGTCCTCTGTTTTGCTCCTCCTTCCACTTTGTTAGAAGGGTACTAAATGAAGGAAAGCAGTCTGCCTGCTGATTTCTGTTTACTCTTGCTTGTATTGGGCAGAGCAGAATGTACCCATAAACTCAGTTTGCTGTGGTTTTATAAAGAACAAGTGGAACAGGAGGAGCTGTAATTAAGCCTACAGACTGCCTAAGAGTTTTTTTTTGCCCACGTCTTGTCAAAAAATTATAATTCAAGAGATTGGAATGCCTTGTGTTTTACTGAAAGAATTAAATGAATTGAAGTGAGCTATAATGGTCCTTTTTTATTTCCTTTTTTTTTTTTTTTTTTTAACAGGTCCTTCCACTTCCTTTTCCTCTTGTTCTAAATACAGGAGCAAGTCAAAAACACCAGCAAATGAACAAAAGAAACCTGCTGAGGTAAGAACTGGGGTTAAAAGGTTCATTACTGGTAGTTTTTAGTCATGTCGTTTTCATGTTTCTAAGCCTTGAAATAGTGAGATTTGAACCTAGTGCTGGTGACTGCTTTTGTCACCTGTCAAAGTCTCTGTGAACCTGTGTTTCCCCCACTGTGTGAATATTATAGGAGCTCTGGTGTTTGATGTTCCAAAATGGCTTACGGCATTTACAGACAGTAACGTGTAGTTCGTTCTTCCCCTGAAATTTAGTATCATTTTGAAATTGGCAAAAGCTGGAATGGTCTTACGATTTGAGAGCATGGCACAGAGAAATGGTTCGTGTGTATGTGTTTGGGAAGAATACTTTCTTTCTGCTTTAGGATGAAACAGCAAGAACACTTAAGTGGGCAGGATATGTATAAGTAGTGCTGGCTCAGCTTCTGCTACTTTGTTTTTTACTTTGACTTTTTAGTTTCAGTAAAGTTTCTTTTTGCTCTGCCATTTACCCCTGTAAGAACCCCAACACCTATCACGACTATCACTGGACCTGTGTTGACCCATTTAATAAATTTGCATTTATGCACAATGCAGTGCTCAAAGACCTTCTGTCAGCTATTCCACTGGTAGGCTCTCTTTGTGGAAGATTTCTTGGCTGTCTTGTCCAGGTTTTATGTTTGCTGTCTTAAGGGCTAAAGTCAGATACTAACTGCAAATAGGATAAGTATTTCTTGTAGCTCATTCCCCTTACTTGTTGTCACATTCCCTCTGAAGGAGTCCTCAGAATTTTAGTATGACTGTTGGTGCCTGAGGTTGCTGAATGAAGACTGACAAAATCCACTTTGTTTCTGTAGAATTTAAAGTTAAGTCCCAGAAATTATTGTGTACTATACCAGCATCTTTCTACCTGTGTGGTTACTGCTGTGCAAGGTTGCATGAACTATAGATCGTGCTCATATAGTGAAACCTATTCAGCAAACATACTTCATTCTTCTTTTCTAAATGCTGCTAACTAGATGGGCTTGGTTTGGCAAGAACAAGGAAAATGATACAGAACATGTCCTTTCTTTGGAAGCTTAATTTTTTTTTTACAGGTTAATTGAAGAAAACTCACTGATTCATTTCTAAAATACAATCTTACGTGTTTCAAAAAGGCAAAATTGGCTAGAACTAGCTCCATAGTGTTTTATTTGCACCACCAAGAAGGTTAAGAAAAGCCTACCATGCTTTTTATCTTTAAAATGTTCGTATGAGAATTATGGTTCTGTAAAAATTTTAGTCTTAAAAGAACTTGTGGCTACTGAGGTCTTGTAAGTGTCGCTCGTGTGTGCCTAGGCAGTGGCTTTGTTACTAGCCAAGCTGTGCAAATGGGAATTGAAGCACATACACTGCCATACTTCTTGCTGTTTCAGATACACCTCAGTGCTAGTCCCTTACCAATCGCTCCTTTCTACCCAGACATCCAGTTTTCTTCTTATATCTCTTCATCTTAGGCATTGTCCTGTTACAGTTTTCTTTGAATTTGCTGCTTTCTGTCTCTTTGTGCATATGTACCTTATAAACAGTAATTATGATGTGGTCCATGTATGTAGCATACAAATGTTCACTTTACATAACTTCTAGCAATTAAAATTAGGGGTGTTTTCAGTTCCTCCTTTTGAGATCATCCCTGATACTTTCTATTTTTCTGTTCTAAGACAAAATCTTGATCCCTTTAATGCTTGGAAATAAGAAACTTTGGGGAACAAAATCTGGAATACACACTTGAAATTTAAAAAGTGTATTTCATAACATAATCCTTTCAGTAATACTGGAATCTCTTTGTCATCTTTCATTTAAGATCCACCTCCCAGGAAAAAAAAAAAAAAAAGAAAGAAAGAAAGAAATCTCAAACTTTAGAATCTGTCCTCTTCTGGAGGAGTGTCCTGCATACAATATTTAAAAAAACCCTTAAACAAAAAAAAGAAGTCCTCTGGGGAAGCGAATGGAAGGGAAGGTGACAGTAATAATCTGTACCCCTTGTTCCTAAGACTTGTGGCTATCAGCAAGCACTCCTTCCAACCCCTTAAAAAGTATATGCTGGAGAGTGTATTGCATCAAACGCTGTTGTCAGCAGAGCATTGAACTGATTATTTATGCACCAAGTGGTAACAAGGGTGTAAAGCAAAGACTGAAAAGGGACCCCACCACACACCGTTCCAAAACTTGAGTTGTAATTCCACAAGCTTTTTGTAGTAATAGTTGTATTAATATCTATTAGATAGAAATTAAAAAGTTCAGGCTGACAGCATCTTTAGCAAGGCCTCTTTTTAACAAGTTGGCACTGCTCTCTTTTCATTCACCTCTGCTTGCCAGGCAACAAGCTGTTTCTTGAGTTAGTGATGCAGAAAATCTAGAAGGTCAAACCTATAAATAGCTGTTTGGGAATATTTTTGTTCATGGTCTTGATGCATTAATTTTTCTTTCATGCCAGCAGGCCTGGCTTTTTCAGTTAAATTGCGTATGAATACATGGGCTTTTTCCCCTTTCCTCAGCCATAACCAGCCCAACCTGAGTACCGAGGTTCCCTCTCCAAATAAAAGCTTGTGTTTGGTACTCTGACCAACAAGCAAGCGGTGAGTGTGTGTCACTTGCTTCATAGGACTTGTCTGTATATGCCACGGTCCTGCACTTGTGTGACAACTGGCTGCAGCTGAGGACTGCTCTGCCTTGAATTGCCTCCCAGGTGCTTTAGAATCAAGGTGGGTGTGGGAACAGCCTCAGTGGAGCACGAGGTCATCTGGTGTTACTGCCAGGCCAAAAAGTGCAGTGTTACAGTGTAAATGTCAAAGACTGTTCCCAGAGCCTAAAGCAATCCAGAAGGGATGTTATTGGGTTAGACCTGGGGTCCACTTACTCCAATCTCCTCCTTGGAGAAGAAGGTGAAAATAAGGCTATATATATGTACGTATATATATGTAATGATGCTTCTGCAGACTATGGTGCTTCTCTATGTAATGTCAAAAGCAAGGTTGCATCTCCTTATTGGATTACAATCTATCACTAACTACTGAGATGGAGACTTAAAAATTTTGTTATCCAGTTACCTTTAGCATTTACTTTGAATAAATAAGTTTTGTTAAGGTTACAGGCACACCAATAGTATCAAGTCATAGTCATTTTTGAGATCTTTATATGAACATGTTGACCACGTGCCATTTGTGATGTTGCCCCTCAGTGGATTAAAATGTAGACTCGGGGGGCTTGCAAGCCTAAACAGTAGACTGTGTAGGAGTAGCAGGATAGGAGGCATTTGGATGTCTGGCTCAGCATGAGGCCTCTACTTAACAGTTTCCTGTCTCTATGAAAGCTGCAGCAGAAAATGATGGCAGAGTAATGGGAATCATTTTTGCAGGGAAAACGTATTAGCTGGACTGTTATGAATGACTGACCATTTCTTCTCCCTTATGCTAGTGGGGTCACAAAAGTGTAAGAGATCTTTATGACACTCTAATTCATACTTTTTTTTTCGGTCCTGTCTCCCTCTTGAAACTGTAAAGAAGTAGTATTGTGCTTTTATTTTAAACCTTTCCCATGTAAGATGGCAGTATTTTACCTCTCATTGCAAATGGGGTTCTGAACCTCACAGCAAGAGTAGTTTTTAATCCCTCATTGCTGATTGGGACAGCTGTGTTATCATGTGAAATGCAGCTTGTCTTCCAGAAGTAAATGGTCTGCTTTCATTACTTGGGTATGTGAAACTCTTTTTAGTGGCATTGAACTACCACAGAAATCATACGTCTTGATTCTGAGGAGCACCCTGGAAGAGTAGACTCTTGGCAGGAAATGGATTCTTTTTGCAGTTTGAAAGTGGTTGGTTTTGGTCTGTGAATGAATGGGTGACATGTTTAAATCATATTGCTTTGCATGTACCATGCAGAATAAGAGACTGTTACTTTTTTTGTGTATGCTTATCTTAGAAGACTTTGAATTAACTTGTGTAACTGGCGAACGTGCCTTATCCATGAGCTGCTTTTTAGCCTACTTGGACTAGCTGTTTTTAAAAAGATAAGCTGCAATACTTTTATGTAAGTAAAAGGTTCAAACTCATTGGTTATTTTGAGATACTGTCTCAGGCTATTTGAACTCTTTAGGAAGAGGCGACCCAAGTGCAGAAGGGTGTGGAAAAGCTTGCTTGTGAAAGGGTGAGCTATTTTATCTTTGAAGTGAATGAGCAGGCATAACTGTAAAGTATGAATGGTCTGGAAACAGCAGAGCTACAGAGCTTCAGTCCTGCCTGTCCTTGTGATGGAGGAACTCTGGAGGAAAGGCGTCGGGAGGGGGGGAGGGCAGGATTTGATAAATGAGGCCAAAAGTTAGAAAATCTGTAGCAATTAAAAGGATATCCTTTCCATGCATCATGTAATTAGACTGTGAAGCTCGTCTGCTATAGGAGGTTGTTGAGACTATGAATTAAACAAGATTAAAAAAGGAATTGGACAGATGATAGCAAGTACAGATTTTTCTAAATATCTGTATAAATTAATACCCACTTTAAAAATTGATTGTTAGGATTAATCCCAAAATCCAAAGCTTATGTCTGATTAGCAAGCAGAAGGAAACTTGACATGTTCTTGCACATTCTTCTGGCTCATGAGATACTGTCAGAGACATGATGTTAGGTAGGGTTGATTTAGTATCCAATTTCCTGGCTTTTCCTCTACTTGCTTGTAAAAGGAGGCTAGGGAGATTCATGGCTACTTAAAAGAAAAGTACAATATTTCATTTGCTTGAGTCCTGGATAATCCATAAAAGTAGTTTTAGGGAGTAGGGATTTTAACATTAGGATTTACGGCATTGCTTGTCCATATTGTGTGAATGTTTGAGAACTGCAAATTTAATGCTACACTTATTCCTGTCCATCACAGCTTTTTTTTAACATTTTAAGTTTTTCAGTCCAGTTGGTATATGTGCCTGGAACTGTAGTTTCATTTCCATTTTAAAATTTTGTTGCTTTTTATTTACTTTGTTGCCAAAACCCCCTCAACCAACCTAAAACCTAAGCAAACCTGTCTTAAGTTTCCACACTTCTCTATAGTAGGGTGCCTTATTTCTGAAACTTCATGTCCAGATTTTAACGTATTAACAAGAAAAAACTTTACTTCTCCAGGGTGACCCCACCAAATTCAGATTTTGGAGCTTCATCTCCTGTAAATGAGCAGTCTTTTGCACAAAGTGTAAAACATCTGTACAAAGATTGAACTCTTCTCAGATACAATGTTGCTATATGACACTTGTAATAGGTTATATTGGAATTTAACTCTTGTTATGTAAAAGATGATTTTAAGTGTAAACCCGCTGCTCTATGTGTTACAATTTTGCCGAGGACCTGTACTTCAGAGTTACAATAGTAGACTAAGCTTTAATGCTTGCAAGTGCTTACGGGAATCAAAAAGTTAATAGATCCTTTAGAAGGAGAATAAAAAGAAATTATTTGACCCTCAACGTGTGAAAAAACTCTTGTGTAATTCACACTTTACTGTTTCTGGAGCAGTCGGCCTTCTTAGTCCCTAAGCAATGGGCATGAGGAACTGAAACACCTGTTGCTGACTTGCTGGGGGTTCTGCTGGGTGCAGGGAAAGCCTCAGGACTGAAGCAATTAGAAGCAATCCGGGAGTCGTGCTTTGATTGTAACAACAGAGCAATTAACCCGGCATTTACTTAAGCCTTGGAGGTGTGGTTCCTAGTCATGGCCTAGACATCTGTGGCAAGTGGTTTATCCTTGCTGGGAGTTTGTAAGCAGTTGGTCAGAGGACCCGGAAGCTCAGTGTCACAAGAAGAAATACAAGTTTTCTTTTTATTTTTAAAAGACGGCACAATCCATGTATTTGTCCTTACCTACGCATTTGGGCAAGACGAGGTGAATGAGTAGTGACGTCAGTCATCTTCAGTAAAAACTTGCAGAGGGGTACTGGAAAAGGTATTTGACTCATATTTTTTTCTTCTCTTAATGTGGTTTCAGTTTTGCAGTAGTCACGAGCAAAAGGTGCCTGACAGTGTGTGCAGGTCTGATGTTTGAATTGCTCAAGATAGGGTTTGTAGGAGGCTGTTGTACCATCAAGACCCATTCTCTGTTTTCAATGCTAGTATTTTACTGTAATTCCCTACAGCTTTACTTGTATTCTCTCTGAGATCTTTAGTGGATAAGGATACTTCACGCTATAAATAGTGTTCTTTGTTTCATAGTCTTGATTTATTCACAGAGTAAGCACAGCAGGGTCCTGTGAGGAAGATTATATGTTGGATTTTCATAGAGTGCTTCCAGAAGGAGTTTTGAGTTCAAGTCAGACTGCTTTTGGTGAAGCATTTATAAATGGATTCTAAGAAGTTAATTTTCCTTGCACATACTCTTCTAACATAATTTCCAAATAGGACTCAGAAGTCTGAAAAACAAATAAAACATATGGACCGTTTCTTCATTGCACAGCTCCATGATATCATTGTTGCTTGGTGTGTTAGTGCTGTGGGGGGGAGCAGATTTCTGGAACATTTTTGTAGAATTTAGCTTTCAGAGGCTTTAGAGACAGCAGTGTGTCTCTGCAGAGGTGACTAGGAAGTTCTCATTTCCTCAGCAATTCCAGGCAGACTTTTACTGCTTAGCAAAAAGCTAATCTTGACTAAATGGCAAGATCTTCTTCTTCTAGACTTAAGCCTCAGTTCTAAAGCATGAAATATGTAATAGAAGTTCTCATTGAGATGGTTAAGATTAGATTATGATGACAATGATGACTTAAGCAAACACATTTCTGATTGTTGTCATTCACTGAGTGCTGCACTGTTGTCAGCTGAAACTAAAAATTCCTGGCAGCAAAATGAAATGGCAAGTTCAGACCAAGCAGTCTTGCATGGTAGGCAAGGCTAAAACTCTGACTTTTCATGCTTTCAATTGCTAAAAGTATTTTTAAAAAATCCCACTGTCACAACAGCAACTACTGTGGAATGCTCACAGTGGTGGGGTTCACTTCAGTGTGTATGCAGCTCTGCTAGCTGTGGTCGGTTGTAGCTCAGCTCTACAAGACCCTTCTCTGTCCTGGTAAAGAGCTGAGTCTGGTCTCGAGGAGTGATGTGTCTGAATGGGAATACCTTATTAGGTAGACTTGGCATGTTCATTTTTTAGGTATTTTCTATATGTGTGATATTACAGGTATTAAAGTTGAAGGTTTGTGCTTATAGTAAGAAGTAGAACTGCTTTTGAGTGACTGAATGACAACCACTGCATTTCATGGCCTCACTGTAAGTGAAGGTGGTCCTTGCCGAGAGGAGAGTGCGAGCTGTGGAGTGGACTAGCTGTTGTTCTGTGTGCACAGTAAAGGAGCTGCATTGTTTTCAAAGAACTGTCCAAAAAAAACCCAGCCACGAGGAAAAGCTGGCTGTCTAAATTCTAAAGTGTGCGTCTGCTCTTTGTGTAGATGGCTTAGTTGAGGCTGACTGCTGAAGTATAATTTACTTGATTTGTCAGACAACTCTTTTGGGTCCCCTGGGTGTTTTGATTTACTTCCACAACAAAGGAAATACAGAGTGAGTATTCTCATACATTGTCCTGTGAGAGTATTTTACTGTTGGAAGACCCTGCTTGGCCACACGTGAAGAAATGATGAATGATGAGAGCTAGAGATTGTGCTGATTCCAAGTGTCTGCAAGAAATCTTCAATTGGACTTGTCACAAGTACGAATAGGCAATTCTTAGGAAGCCTAAGTCGAGTTTTTGGATCCTTTAAGGTTTAAGCAGTTATGTGTTTACTGGTTAAATTTTTGACCTTAAGTGGTTCATGTACTGTAAATTTTATAAATCTGAAGTGGAGAACTTAATATTGCGGTGTCATGATGGTGTGGTCACTACTAAACAACAGTCAAAAAACCCCAAAACAAGTCCATGCTCCAGGGAGTTTGTGCTCTAAAAATAGAGATGATACAGTTCACATGCATAATGGATGATCAGATTTGCTGCTAAGCAGTGTAGTTAGAATACTGACGCCTTTAATAGCACTTTTCACGTAGTGTTTAAAAAATAGTAGATTTGATATGAAGTACTCCACTTCTATATTCTGTCAGTGTCTTAAAAGGTAGTTTGTAAAGCACTTAGCTCAGATAAGTTCCAAGGAATATCTTTTCTGATAACTAAACCAGTCATTGCACTTCCCACTTATCAGACTTTTTTTTCCCTTCTGGTGTTCTTTGGAATTGTGCCATGTTAGTGTTTCTCGTAATCATGGCTCTGTACCTGTAACGTAGAAAAGTAAGATGCCTTTTAAGTGGCATAAATAATTTAATATTTTATTTTTGGTGTGTAGACATACTGCTTGGGAAAAAAAAAAAATTCTTGTAGTCTTAATGCTTTTGCTCTTGTGATTCAGATTGTAATATAGGTCTCCTAAGTACCTGAGTTTTACACAGAAGGCAGCAGTGAACAGTCTGTTATGAACAAAGGCAGATAACACATTAGTCACAAATATGAGAGCCTTGAGTCTGTGATTTTTGAGTTCTCTTGGTCAGCTTGCTCTTCTGGCAGCCTGTGTGAGATGTAGGAGATAATGAAGTAACACTGAGTTCCAGGTCACCAGCAGCCTATTTCAATACCTGTTTTTAATACAGAGCCTTTTTTAAAAAAATATTTACTTGATGATTTCAAAGAACAGCTGAGAATTTTTGCAGTAGGCATAACCGGTCTGGTGCTGTCAAATTGAAAAGGGTACACGAAGATATTTGGCTCTGAGATTATTTTATTACTCTTCTGGTTATAAAACTGAATTAGTAAGAAGAGAGTTCAACCTGTCACAGCTTACTGCAGGGATATTTCCCATTTCATTTTATTGCCCTTGGAGGATGTGATTTCTCATTACGATAATTCAGTTAATTAGTTGTGATGTCTCCCTAACACCAAGCCACAGTCACTCTTTTGCTTTTATCAACATTAAGCTAGTGCAGGGTATCAGTGGGGGAAAAAAATCAAAAACCCATGAAGGATGTATAATGCCCTCTAGTTAAATCGTATGCACCTGTAGTAGGCAGACACTAAGTAAGTCTTGAGATGACTGATAATCATGCTTATGTGCTTGTAAAAACTTAATCCTCATGAGACAAGAGTCGAATGTTATGGCTGGAGATTTGTCACTGGTGGGTTTGCTTTGTTTGAGGGCGGCGTCTCGTTGTACAGGTTTGCCAAAGGATGCCGGGGCTGGGTTGTGTCGCTCTGCCTGCACTGGGACTGCTTAGGCACAGAGCAACACGGGTCTCATGTTTCAGCAAAGGCAGCTGTTCATCTTTGATCTTGGAGATCCCAACCACTAAAATTTCAAGTGGTTTTAATAAATGAGCAAGTGTCTGTGCATCAGTTTTACCATGGCAACTGCTCGTAGCCCATGATGAATACAACAGTTTAAAGTAGCTAAACTGAATGAAAGTAAAGGATATGCTACCTTGTAAGTAAGTTGGTCTAAAGCCTACAGTCTGGCAAGTAGGATAAGTTGATTGAAAGTGATAGGGTGAAGAGTCTTGAATCAGATGTAGGCCTCCTTTTCCCTCTTCCTGGTCACCTGTTACAGCCTTCATCCTTCTGATTAGCTGTTGGGCAGGAGCATGGTTTTGAATTAGTATAAACCTCTTGTCATAATGCACCTAATATGCTAAGAGTTATTAATATAGGTAGTTTCAAATTGACCTGTTTGTGCTGGTACTCTCTAAAAAAATTTTCAAGTATGTGCATTGTTTCTGTGTAGATTAAAAAAAATACATACTGCTTTCTTTAGCACAATGCTCTTTCTCAAATCACTCTTTTCCCTCTCATGTTTCCTTCAGGTGTTCCGCAAGGATCTCATTAGTGCCATGAAACTACCAGATTCTCACCATGTCAACCCTGATGAATACTATGTCTTTGCGGACACGTGGAAACAAGAATGGGAGAAAGGGGTTCAAGTTCCAGCCAGTCCCGAAACTATTCCACAGCCTTCTCTCAGGTAATAGTGATCAGACACAGATCATGTGCACAAAACGTCAACTCAGAGGAGATGGTCTCTCAAGAGCAGATTGTCCAAATGCAGTCAGCTTTTCTCTGTTGTTATATTTAAATCTTCAATGCAGCAGCCTTCAGACATGTTCTTAAACCACACAAGTGCCAGTTTGGAAAACATGTCTGTGGCACTTCAGCCACAGATCTTGTTCTGTCTGTGCACTGTTATAGTATCTACATTGTGAATTCAAAAATATCTCTTTTTCCAGATTAAAAGCTGTTTTTTCATTTGAGTATGGTGAGTTGAATAAATTACAAATAAACCCGTATCTTGTACATGTTACTTAAAAGGTTTCCCTATAAAGCTTGATAATGTAGAGCGCTAGGCATGCAGTAGTTACTGAGACCTGCTAAAGTTACTCGTTTGTTCATATAATTTAATTTTGGCTATTGTTGCCAAAGCTTAAACACTTTACGTCTTCTCTCACCACAAGTGGCTCCTTAACATCGTAGAAGTTCAGTGACCTCAGTTTCAGGAGATAGATGAATAGTTTTTTGTTCTCTCACACTGTACCTAGACTAGGAAAACATATCAGTGTAAACCTGCAACATTTCTGTGCATGTTTCAACATAGAATTGTTATTACCAGCATGGTCTTCAAGACAAAGATGAATGAATTGTCCAGTGAAAGCGCTGATGCCAGCATAATTTAATTTCCACTGAGGCCATTGTCGGTACCAAGTTATTAAAAATAAATATATTGCATCTTATACTAGCAGTATTATATTAGAGGGAAAAATTGCTATAGATTTGGCTGGACTAGAGAAAAGAAAAGCTCACAAGGGAATGAAAGGAAAAAATGAGCAGGGTGAAGGGGGAGGAAGAATGGCAGAAGAACATTGTTTGTATTAACATTGACAACCCACATTGTCCAGTAAGAATTATGCGGGATACAGCTTGACTGATGCTTCGTCCTCTTTACTGCCTTATTTTCCACGGTTTTTCTCTTTTCCTTTTCCTGTGGAAGGTTAGCTCCAGATATCATGCAGAGCTACTCTTGCATGGCACCACTCCATTCCATATCTCTGGATTCCTTTCATTATATAGGGCCTTTTGCATTGAATTCAGAGAAAGATTGACCTAATCTAGTTTATTTTTTCCATGCCAAAATCAAACTAGTCAAACACTGAGTTTTATCTCTGAAAATAATTGAGAGACTGAGAATACAAATATTTTTCTGCCGTGTTTCTTGGATGATTTTTCTTTCCCCTTTACATTTTTGCTTGGCATTGTAATGTTTCTTGCATAACAAAAATTGTAATGTGGATTTGTAATGTGGATAAAGCATCATTTACAAAAGAAGTGTAGACTGTGTATCCCAAATGGAGAGCAAGGATTTTTCCCACACACACAGACACTACAGTAGAATAAATTAGCTTTCGTGAAAAAGCTGGTATTTTCAAGAAATCAGTTGGTGAGATTTCCTTCTATCATTTAGGAGGAATATAGAACAAAGATTGTAGGGGTTTTGTGATAATACTTTCTGTGGGTTTCAGAAATGCTTCATTGCGATAATAGCATTTGTTAAATTGAAAAACATATGCACAGGCTTACATTTTAAAAAGGATTCTGTATTTGTAGCAAACCTTAGAACATTTTGTGGGAAAAAAATGACATTTACAAAATCTTGTCTCCTTAGCCTGGCTACACTTACTGAATAGTTTAAAATCTGTGAAACACCAGGTTTCTTTGCACTTATAGCCGATATTTCATGTCTTTTGAGGGTGGGTCTTAAAAAGCTGTAACTATTTCTTGTTTTATTTTCACTCTAGGGTTGTAGCAGAAAAAGTGAAAGAAGTACTGTATACACGACCAAGGAAATACATCCACTGTTCCAGCCAAGAACCCACAGAACCAGGTTACATCAACATTTTGGAATTAGCAGAATCTGTGTGCCGCTATGACTTGGATGACATGGACATCTTTTGGCTTCAGGAGCTAAATGAAGAGCTTACAGAAATGGGTAATTTTACAACACGTTCTAATTTTAAAAGCAGCTGTTAATTTCTGCTGTTTGAATTGTAGTCTGCTTGTGAGATCTTTTAACCATTGCTGAATGAGAATTGAATGCAAATGCTAAGAAAAACAGGAGGTAAAAATGCTTAAAGTAAATTACTTGCTTGATCTGTTAATGTTTTATATTTTACCTGTTGGGCCTAAAAACTTCTTTGCATCCAAAATCATGTGCAACTTCTGCAGACTGAAGCGGGAGGGAAAGAGCCCACAGCAGGCGAAGTTAAGACTTCAAAAGTTAAAGGTGTTTTTTTTTTTTTAAGGAAAGCAGATGTTTTAATTTCTTCAGTTTGAACGTATTATTGTTACAAACTCAGAGTTATGAGGAGCTTGCATGCTGGGTTCTCAATAGAATAACTGAGTTTCACACTTGTTAGCCCATTTAGAATCAGCTAAGTAAACATTCTTTTTCCGTGTGAGTTGTTGGTATAGAGGGCTATGAGCAGGAGTGAGTTATGTAAAATAACCTTGGAATTATCACTAGAATAACCAAACTATGGTGTAATAACCTGTATATCTAATATTCTTCCATGGGTGATTGCAGATCCTTTAGGAAGGACAGGTGGACAAAAGAGGGAAATATTTTACATCACCTGGATTTGCTGTTACTAAAAAAGGAAGAATCTCTAATGATGTGGTAATCAACTGCAGTGTTATCTGTAATAGCTATAAAATAGTGGTGACTGAGATCCTGAGGGGAGTGAGGAGAGGAAGCACTTTTTCTGGTCCTGGATTTTAGGAGAGCACGTTTCTACTTATCCAGGTAACTGAGAGATGGATTTGGGAGGCCCCTCTGAAGTACGGAAGGATATGGATGTAAGAAGTAGAAGCCAGGACAAACTTCCCAGGCATACAGGAATGCTGTTAGCAAAACCTGTCAGCTTTTCGGGGGGGCAAATCTCCGTCCATGGAGATTTTCAAGATCTGACTAGACATATCACTTGAGCAACAACCTTTGCTGGATTTACTGTTGACTCTGCTTGGAGCCAGGGACTGGGCTGAAACCCTCCAAAGGACCCTTCCCACCTGAATGATTCTGTAATTCTTTTAATTCTGGAAGTGAGAAAATACTGGGGCATGAGAGAGAAGGGTTTAAGAGCAGAAGGCACTTTTTAACTGCAGTCATTTATCTTTTCTATCTCCATGTTTATCGTTTGTAATGAGGATTCAGAATTAGTAGCCTTAGTTAAAATATTATAGCCTCTGCTATCAATGGTTCATGAATGTCCCAGCAGTCAAAAGTCTGAGTAAATTGTGAGCTGTGAGCATCATTGTTATTTTTGGCAGATATTTTCATAAGATGCAGTTGGGAGATTTCTTATAGCTATGAGCATTGTAGGGTTTCTTCCTCAGCATATGTCCTGAAGCTGCAAGCTGAGGACCAGTCTCACAGCAAATCCTTTCTAAGTGGTCCTGCTTATGCTGAGTTTGATTAGTGGTGAGTGTATATAGCATGACTAGTGTTCAAGTGAACAGATAGTATGGATTGCAACAGTATATTTATCTGCTATTCTATTTTAAAAAATGTAACCAAAAAAATAGAAGAACTTTTCATAACTGTCGTGCTTTGATCACTCAAGTAGTGTACTAGGTAGCACTGGGTGGTACGACTTCTGTATTGTTATAAGATATGAAGTATTCTTGGTAAGTTTTACTTCTTAGGGAGTTAGCCTTCAGAAGAACTTAGTGTGTGGGTTTTGGATGTCATTAGTGTTTCTTAAAGTGATGGAAGTGCAGGAAGGGTTGTATGAGAGCCTTTACCAGTTATAGCAACTGCTGTCTGTCTTTTATGTTGTAGTGTTTTCTTCAAGGTTTGATTTTGTGGTTTATGTACAATTTAAACTTTTACTCCAGTAGTAGTTCTACTTATATTTATAAAACAATGCTACAGTTAGACTGTGAGTGAAAAAGCTTTTCTATTTTTCTTTCATTTTTAGGTGCTCTGTCTACTGCAGTGGTTGCTAGAAGTTGTCTTTTTTCTCTTCCTGTTTCTCTGACTCAATCAGAAGCACCTGACTGCCCTCTAATTCCTTTTTGGTGTTGTAGGATGTGGGCCCCTGGATGAAAACACAATGGAAAAGACAATTGAAGTGCTGGAACGGCACTGTCATGAGAATATGAATCATGCCATTGAGACTGAAGAGGGGTTGGGTATCGAATATGATGAAGATGTCATCTGTGATGTGTGCCGGTCCCCCGACAGTGAAGATGGGAATGACATGGTGTTTTGTGACAAGTGTAATATTTGTGTCCATCAGGTTAGTGCCTGCAAGAAATGTTGACACCATCCCATGGTCTAAGTTTACCTAGGCAAGTGTGGAATTTGAACTGGTATTAAATGTTAATTGCAGGACTTTGTAGTTTTCTACATATGAAGCATCGTGCAATACTAAGGTGAATTTTTGGACCCTAACAGTTACAGTAGATTAAGTGGCCTAGCATAGTTAATAAGTGGACAGCTGCAGTCTAACAGGAATGCAAAATGTGTTTTTGGGACTTGCAAGTACTTCCTCTGTGACCATAAGCAATTTTTCCCATTATGACTAAACCTGCTTATGAAGATAAACAGGGCAGGAAATACTGGCTTGCCTATTTGTGAGAAACCCAAAGACCACTTGATTCAGGACTGTCCAGATTTAGCCATCTTAAACCACACGTGGCACTTTACAGAGTGATTTTTTTTTAGACGGCATCAACACCTGCAATAACCATGCTCTTGATCTGAATGTTGCTCACATTTATAGTGTTTCAGAAGTAGCCAAAACTTTACACTGACTGAGCTCAGTGTAGTCAGGCAGAGGTATCAGAAAAGGGATATGAATCCTGTGGTTTCTGCGCATCCTGTTCTGCAAAGGGGTTTTGCTATAAGTTGAAAAGAGACCGAGAAGGTTTTGTGTTTTTTTCTTTTTCTACTGACTGCGAGCAGTACTCGGAAAACATATCTGGCTGAAAAAGGACCTGTCATCTCCTTACTCTCAGTGGGCTGGCTGCCAGCCCAGCTGCTTTCCTGATCTGATTCACCGTATGAAGCAGCCACGTGAGCCTGAGTTGCCAGTAAGGTGGCTAGTGACAGGAGTAGGACCGGCAGCTGGGCTGCCTGCTTCAGTCCTTGCTCGTGCCTGTTTAGAAGTAATGATGGATTTGCAGTCAAAGGGCCATGGTTGCCTGCTGACAGCTGAGCTTGAGCTGATGGTCTGCTGCCTCCTTGCCCCTCATTCTTCCCCACACTGAATCTGCCTTGAAACCAACTGGGGAACATGTCTGGGCTAGAGCTAATCCTCACAATAACAACAACTCATTTGATTTTTAATCTCGATCAGCTTTGGTTGAACAAGTAGCCTCAGGTCTGTTTGTCATCACACGGTTAGGAGGTGGAGGGCAGGAGGAGTGTGAGAAAATTCCTCCTTTGTGGTACCTTCTTGTGCTGGCTCAAACACGTTGTGAAATTACTGGTTTGGTAGTCTGGGCATCCTCCACTTATTAGTTGGTTTAAATTAGAAAATAGTTTGAGTCCATTTCCAACCCCCTAAATGTGATCTTAGGTGTAATGCCACTTCTGCTGTAGTAACAGAAAGAATGTTGGTGGTAATGTGCCACAGAAGAGGAAAAAGCCACTTGTAAAATTTAGATTACAGCTCCCCCTGTTGGGCTTTTGCAACAGTTGTCACGTAAAAAAAGCATTTAGGTTAGTCAGTCTTTTCGAATTTAATTCAGAAAAGTCCCCGTTTCCACGAGCCTGACATAAATGTGCAGTGTTTTATGATATTGCTTCATATTAAATACTTAAATACTGAGATCTTAGAAGGCTGAGAAGGCAAGTGTGGGAATTTTATATTAGATTTAATCTGAAAAAATTGTTCCAATTAACGATCCTTTTCTGTTGAGTCTTCCAGTGTTACTATTCCCAGAGATGGCGAGGTTTCCTCTGAAATCCACCCTTTTGATAAAAGTTTTATTTGGAGCATTTGAGTGGAATTAGGCCTTGGTGGCAGCCACTTGTTTCAGATACACTCAGCTTAATAGGTGTATGTGTATGTACAGTAGGATCCATCGTGGTTCCATTACGAACCATGAAGAATTTGAATTGGAAAGAATTTTTTACATTCTCAAACCTAGGAAAACTTAATAAATTTCTCATTTTCCACATGGTTAAGAGCAATACTTGGGAAATAGGCGTAAAACCCAGCACTTCATAATTTCAGTACATGCTGTAATTTATATTTGAAGTAAAAAACAATGCACAGAACTGTAACCACAAAAGTAAGTTAATGTTGCAGGAAACTTCCTTCAGTCCAACAGCTTATATGCCTTCACATCTAAATAGAACTATGTTAGAGTGTAAAGTTCTTAGCAGTAGGAAATTGAGATTTTAAAAAGTCTTAGATGCAGAAGGTAACTTAAAGAAATGTCAGTGTTGTTTGCTTTGGAAATTTAAAAATTATTAAAAGGAAAAGAGAAGGTTCTTAACACCGGGGCTGTTGTGCAGTCACAATGGATATGCTTTACTCTGTAAACAAGTAATACCAGCACACATTCTAAAAAGGAACCAGGGTAAAAAGATTGCTTTTGAGGCTGTTTATCTCTTTGATCACTTGACTTATTTTAAGGTGAATAAATCACAGAAAGATTAAGTGAAGTCCAAATTTTGCCTTTACTTTTTGAAAGCTTTGCTCTGTATGAATATTAATGTTTGTGTGTGAAATAATTTCAGCATAATGATTTCAATATCTGTTCTCCAAGGCATGCTATGGAATCTTAAAAGTACCTGAAGGGAGCTGGCTGTGTCGCACCTGTGTCCTGGGAATACATCCTCAGTGCCTCCTGTGTCCCAAAAGAGGAGGTGCCATGAAAGCTACCAGGACAGGGACCAAGTGGGCACACGTGAGCTGTGCTCTTTGGATTCCAGAGGTAAAAACCTAATTTCTGTCTCTGTCCTCCTCCTTGTAGTTCCCTCCTCTGCTTTTTTGGGTTCTCGTGATTTAAGGTATCTGTCTGCCGTAATGCTGGTCTTTACTCTGATGGGTCTGTACAGTCTGTAAGACTGGGAGGGAGTCCAGCTTATGTTCCATTAATGAGTCACTTTGTCACCTCGATTTACTCAGCAATCACTTCTTGGTGTCATTATGGTACCTGAGTGACCTCTGAGAAAGGGTTACTGATGTATGCCACATCTTACAAATGCAGCTTTATTCTCTCTTGTTTTTGATAAATTTGTGTGCTCAGATACACATATAATTTGCACAAATACCTCTACTTTTTTCTTTGTGTATTTTTTTAAAATTTAATTTTTTATTATTTATTTAAAGAACCCCCTTTGGCATTATTTCTGTAGGATGCATGCCAAGATTTGTAGTTAAGGTTTCTTTGAACTAAAATTTTTCTGAACAGTGGGGGAGATGTGACTTTTTATCTCTGTTATATTTTATAAGTAAAGGCTTTCTTGATATATCCGTGTATACATATACGGAGAGTTTCATTATGAAGTTTTACACTTCATTTTGAATCAAGTTTAGCATCACGGTATAATCCTGTAAAATGGAATGTTCGCTTGGGTATATGGAGTTTGTGCTTTATTTTGCACTTGGAATATTTATGCTTTCTTTCTGGTAAGATTCACAAATCCATTTTGGTGTGAGGCAGTAGCCAGATATGTCAGCAGCGTGACATCAAGGATACTGTATTTTCTGAACCTTCTGTTCCTAAGTGTAGCCAAGCCTCATGCATGTAAAACTTTGAGGAAGATGTTTGGATTCTGGGTATTTTTTTTTCAATTTAGCAGCTAGATGCAATCTGTAATTCCTAGCTGTCTTGGGTATATATCTGCTTTTTAAGGAGGTTGTCTTTGAAGTTGCATTCTTCCTTTCGGGCCTCCTTGTAGTTCCTGGCATCTCTTCCACCTTCAAGGAGAAAGAATTTGAAAAAGAAAACCCACAGGTTTATTTTCAAATTAAAAAAAAAAAAAAAAAAAATCACTTCTCCTCCTGCACTTAGGACGTGACTTGGCTGGAAGCTTTCCTGGCTCTGAGCAGACTGGTTTTCCTAAAAGGTCCTTTCTGCATGTGAACAGCCTTGCTGTTCTCGCTAGCAGAAGAGGAACAGTGAGGTTTAGGAAGCAGGTGAGTGCAGGGCAGGAAGCACACACTGGCTTCCTGCCTGCCCACCTCTCCCTGATGAGGGAGAGAAGCTGCTGGGAGAGCACCCAGGTGGAAGAACTTGAATCCAGCTGCTTCCATAGCCCATTCAGTGACTCCCAAGCCTTGGGCACCTCCTACCCTTCACACCAATGTCAAGTGTGTTGGGTGTAGTGAGGAGATGGTACCTGCCAGTAGGGATTGGAAATGCCTCTTGGATTCATTCTGTCTCTCAGGCTTGTGCATTGTCACTTGTAAAACAATTGAGTCACCAGAGAAACCCTTGTGAATCTCTGCTAAAATGGCATGCCAGTGCCTATCTGGAGGGTCAGTGTGGCTTTACGTGCTGCAGGGGGGAAGAAAGACCTAGAAACTGGAGACCTATGTATGGATGCTTTAGGGGACAGTGTGTATTCTCATATTTTTCCCCTCCTCAAGATAATAGCATGCTGGAACTCCCCTAAAAGAAACAGATGAATTATGAAGTCATTGTCCTTTTCCCTTGTGGCCCTAACAAAGTGGAACAAGGCAGAATGCCGAAAGAAAGGGGCTATACAACATGTCTGTCTTGTACCAAAAGGTTCAAAGAGGCTTTGTGAGTCACCAAGTGTAGTCTAGCATTGTTGCAGTCATTTGCAGCAGGTATTTTCCTTCATTAATTTATGTAGCACTGTCTTAAAATGTTTTTTTCCTTCCTGCCTTCCTTGTGATTTAATGGTATTTAAAGACTTTCTTGACCCTCTCTTTATTGATTGGGATGTTTGAAGATTTTTACTTTCCAAAGTGTACTCATTGTTGGTTTATAACCATTTATTCTTCTGCCTTTACTGTCCTTTAGTGTAAATGTGTGGTCTATTTCATGTTTCCTTAAAAGGCATTCTTCTAATTAAGAAAAGGAAACACTGATACCAGAAAACCTATACCGAGTGTTTTGAAATTCAAAGTCCTTCTCTGCCTTAGATAACCCATTGCAGTTACATCCTCTGTCAGTCGATGTGGTGTTAGCTGAAGCAGAAAATGATAGAGGAAAGATAAAATTGCCTATCCTGTTGTGAGTGGCCATACTCAAGGCACTGGCCTGCCTTTCCCAGCCACTGACGTGGATCTTTGTGCACTGGTGCACCTGTTGGTGACAGGTTAGCAAGGAAGCAGAGGACAGCAGGGGGACGATCGTGTGCATGACAGCTGCAGATAGCAGACTTCACAACCCATTGTTTTCGCTTCCTCACACTCTTAAAACTTCTTCAGAGTATAGCAGTCAAGATGTAACCTGATGCAAGGTGAAGAAATAGAGAAAATGGCTACATCTTAAGGCAGTTTCTGCCTTGGGGTGGGAGTTTTTGGGGAATGAAGAAGTTGGCCTGTTTGCTCTCTGGATCCCTTTTGAGTAGCAAAGTTCAAACAGACTTAGCCTTGACTTCTCTGAATATCAGAAACATGCAGATGGCATGAAGCCAGTACAAATAAGTTGCACCTGACTCAGTAAGTGCCTCTTTGTGCTTTTACAAAGTGGGGTAATATAAACAGCCAGCATTACAATCTGAATGGGCAGTATTTCCAGTATAAATGTTTCTTGACCTCATGAGTTTCCTCTGGGGAAGGAGCAGGGAGAGCATTAAAGAGGGCAGAGAGGGACAGGGAAGAGATCTGTGTCAATTCCAGCTCCTGCTGGGAAGCACAGTGGAAAGCTGGTATTACTCAGTCTCAAGAAAAAATCACTGAAGATTCTGGTTTCTTTTTGAAAAGAGTGTAGACAACCTGACAAGTTGATAAAATCCCTTAATTCCTAAAGGAAGTCTTGCCTCTTAGTGTAGTGGTAACAGTCAGTCTTTGTACAATATTGTTTCAGAAACACCTGCATGACTTGTAACCAACTGTGTTTTGAGCAAGGTGAAGTTAGGTTCATGAAAGGCTCTTTCCTTTGGGAAGCAAAAAAGCTACGTTTGATGATGTTTAAAAGTGCTGGACATGATTTGTTGAACTGTAGGCATTTCAGGGATAGCCTTGTCAGTTTTCCACCAGTTTACAGGAAGGCCACAATAAGTTCGATTACTTCTCATCTCTACCTGATGAAGGCATCACATATTGCCTAGTGTTCTTCTTGTCTGGTAAAACCTGAACCCTCTCTAAAGCATCTCACTGTCTTCCTAATGAAGACTTTCAGAAGTTCCACGCAGCAGATTGACTATATTCCAGAAGATTTGGGCTTGCAGTTGGCAGATGAGAGGGTGAAGTACTGTAACAAATATATATCTTATTTGAGTCAATTTATTCATTAATTCATGAACTGCTGGTCAACTGTTTTTTTTAAATGTGGAAATGATGAACCAAGTTATCTCTTGAAAAGCTGTTTTTTCCAGCTACTGAAATGATCTTTAAAGCAGTGCATGATAAGGCGAGAGTAGCAAAAATACTCTGTTTGAGCATAGCAACTATGACTTAGCACTGCTATCTTTGGGTAAGTCTACCTCACTGAGGAGGTCTACTGAAGAAGAACCTTTCCTCCTCAGGGATTAAGCAGGTTTTAAAATGAATATGTGCATCAAGTCATTGATGATGTGCCCCCAAGGGGAAGCTGGGAAGTTCCGCTTTGTCTATTAGCTCTTGTAAAGTCACTGTTTTAATTATCATGTGTTAAACTAATTCATATAACCTGGATGTCCCTGTGTGACTCTTACTGTGGAGACAATCTGTGAAAATTACTGTAGCATAATGCTCTTAAAGTTTAAAAAACAAAACAAAACAAAATAATTGTTCAAATCTCAACCTTAACTGTTTTTCTTGTGTTGTGGTCCATATCCCAGCATGGGAGCAGCCAGATCACCAAGGGCTCACTCCACTGGCAGCTGAAATCTTTTTGCTTATCTTCCAGCTCACTCAGGGATAGAGATCGGGGAATTATCTTTGGCCCTGCCTCTTCCTCCTGTTCTGAGGGCTCTGGTTCCTCTTCATCCCTCACTCAGCAAACTGATTTGGTCTTGGATTTCTAGGAATGACTGCTACCAGCTTGGGTTGTTTCTCTGGTTCAGCTGTAGTTTGAGTGGCTTTGGTGGCTGTTGGTCTGCTTTCCTCCTCCTCCCCCCTGAGGGTGCTGTCTAGTAACAAGCAGTGTCTGATAAATAGTAACCAGGGCCCAGCACATTGCAGCTCTGCACCTCTCTGGAACATCCACAGCATTTTTCTTTCACATGTTTTATCACTTTAACAGTGTCCTGTAGTTGGTCAAGAGTGAACTTCAAAGCATTGGAGGAGAGAAGTCCTCCAAATACTGGCCCATGCCCTCCTACATTCCATACCACTTATGACTATCCACCCTCAGGGCAGATCTCTAAAAGACCTTCCTAAACTTTTGTAACTCTAAACATGGTGTGGGCTGGGCTGAGGAGACCTGGCAGACTTAGCAACAAGATAATGCTTTCCTTAACATTCAAAGAAAATTAAAAGTTCTCAAAAGCTGTTGTAACAGGTCTGAAGGAGGTAAAAAGGGGGTGAAAAGCTGGGAAAAATCATCCTCCTCTGTTCTCCCCACAGACTGGGTACAATTATTAATGGACTCAAGAGGTAGCGCCCAAGGTAAGGGCAGGAGAGCAACACTGAAGACACATCCCAAACGACCGTCCTTGTCCTTGATGTTATCATGACATAGGCTAATATCACACAGTACAGCAACAAAGCAATCCTGATCCCTCTCCTTGCTCTCAAAAAGAGCACTGCGATGAGCTCATAGTGCATATATGGAAACATATACAGGGTTAGGTACCACACCCTCATGAACAGAGCAGGCAACATTGTGACCAGTGGTTCTGTACCTAATACAGCAAATGCTTAGATAAACTTTGTTTCTAACCCACTCTGGGCAGATCTGTTGTTATCTCAACCTTGTGTGTCCCACATTGGGTGCCAAATAAAGGCTGTCACGGTTTAGGAATGGTATTCCCCAGTTAAGTGTTCCCACTGAAACACTCCAAACCATGTACCACTTGCTCACTCCCCCTTCCTCCTCCCTTTCCCCTGCAGCAGGCTGGAGAGGAGAATTGGAGGTACCAAAGGTAAAGATCACAGGGTGAGATAAGAACAATTTACTGCAAACAGCAATGGAAGAAGAAAAACAAACAAAAGATGGAACCAGCGCTTACCCTGGGTAAATCACGTTTACCCTGGGTAGAAGAGAGCCCTTGCCCCTATCCCCAGAAAATGATGTGAGGGTGGTATAGAATAGCCTCTGGATCCTAGCCATGCCCCCTCCTAGCTACTGCAAAAATTAACCCTATCCTAGCCAGAACCAGGACACTGGTTCATAACAAAGAATGATGTCAGTGACTCAAGTGTTTTGAAGAATTGCAACTTTGAGCCACCAGGTTAAATTAGTATCACCCACACTATTGTTTGCACGTGAGATCTTTTGAGGTTCCTTGCTGACAAGTGTGAGCACATGGAGATCTCGCGGCAAGAGAAATGTGAGGATGTTTTTCTTCTTCTGGTATTAATGGAGAGCTTGTTTTTATTGCCTTGGTAACTGTTTTCCATGCTGTTTTTTTTTTTGTTTACAGGTTAGTATTGCTTGCCCAGAAAGGATGGAGCCAATCACAAAGGTGTCTCACATTCCACCGAGTCGATGGGCTCTAGTGTGTAGTTTATGCAAACTGAAAACTGGTGCTTGCATTCAGGTATGTGCTTGTCCTGTAGTGACTCTGCAGGGTACGTCTATGTCACAAGGGCAATTTTGGTATTGCGTTTTGTTCTTCCAGTGTTCAGAAGTGCTTTACAATGCAGATGACCAATGCAGTAGATATCTACTTCTTCATAGCTCTTTTCTATCAAATTAGTTGACTAGCACAGAGATTTAGGAATTAGCCGGGATTGCCTTCTTTTGAATGAGGCTGAGATGTCTGAGAGCCACTACTATGTGCATCAGAGATGGACAGAAAACTCCTTCTGTTGAACACTTTGCAAACAAGAAAATACTAAATTTGGTGAAACCAACGTCAAAGGCATCAACAGATATTTTTAAGACTGTGTAGAAAATAGGGTTTTGTAGGAATGGACTTTCATGTTGTTAAGATAATTACGTCCTTCTTTTCTGGTTTGTTGTTTCATTGTTAGTAATTGAGGGGTTTTTGTTTTATTTTGTCTGCAGTGTTCTGTGAAAAGCTGCATCACTGCCTTTCATGTCACCTGTGCCTTTGAGCATAGCTTAGAAATGAAGACTATCCTGGATGATGGGGATGAGGTCAAGTTCAAGTCGTATTGTCTAAAGCACAGCAAGAACAAACAGAATTCGTTGCCTGATGTTGAGGAGCACCCCAAGACCGTGTCAGAGCAGAAGCAAACAGAGAGTGAGAAAACGAGTTTACGAGCCCAAAAACTCAGAGAGCTGGAAGAAGAGTTTTACTCACTAGTTAAAGTGGAGGATGTTGCAGCAGAGCTGGGCCTTCCTAAACTTGCTGTAGACTTCATCTACAATTACTGGAAATTAAAGCGAAAAAGTAACTTTAACAAACCATTGTTTCCTCCCAAGGAGGATGAAGAAAATGGCTTGGTGCAGCCAAAAGAAGATAGCATTCATACCCGCATGAGGATGTTCATGCATTTGAGGCAGGACCTAGAGAGGGTAAGAAATTAACTGGTAAAATTTTGAAAAACTATTTGCAGGTGAGCAAGGTCTTTGTTTGTGGATGAAAGTGGGAATGGGGAAAACAAAGGGAGATGATTTTAAAAATAACTATTTAAAAGATTTTAAAAAAAAGTAAGGCCTTCAACTTCAGTTTTTTGATATGCTGCACTGCCTGCTGCAGACCCAGAAGTTGTCCCTTTATATATTTTAAGATGCATGTTTCTGTGCATAATGTACATGTTTGGTAACTGACTCTCTGATTTCAACTTCAATTGAATAAATGTTTAAAAAAAGTGAGGTCTTTTAGCACTCACCTGCATGGTTTGGAGTCAAGTAGGTGATATCCTAAGTGATTAAATTCCATGATGGCTTTTTGACTCCACACGCGCAGAAGCAGAATGCTGGGCCTGTACTCCTACCGCTTCCTGTGACATCTGGTTCAGGAGCCTTAGTCACATCTCTTCCTCTGGTGTCAGGTTGTCCCAGGTAGCAGGCAGACCATGAGCAGCATTACTCTGTAGACCTAGGTGTTCTCACTGTTTGTAGCTTCCTTAGGTCCTACAGATAATTAGCGGTCTGAACGTAACCCACCGTGTCTGCTGCTGCTGCTCATGGCTTTACTGAGAAGGAGGTAAAGGAAGTTATTTTTTTGTCAGTAGCTAGCTGGGTTCTTACCAGGTTGCCAGCTAGACGGTAGTTTGGAAATAAGGAATCCATCAGCAAAAATCAGAGCAGGGATATATTAGGAAGGTGTACAGAGTGCATTTTTCTGGAAGCTGATGGAGGAGGAAGCCAAACTTGTTACCATTCAGAGGCTGCCAATTAGGTTGGCCTGTTGGGTAGTGGTCAGCTGCAGTTTTCAAGTGCTTAGAGATAGGTAGGAAGTGTAAAAAATAAAATAGATGTGCTAAATATGATGAGCAGAGGGGTAGCAAAAGCAGGAGAGAGGTAATAGTGTTGTAAGAAAAAGGAGAAACAGTACTGGGGAGAGAAAAACATGAAAATACAGGGAGATGAGTGTTGGAGCCAAGATTTGTACTTGTCAGTGGAACTGTTGTCTTGAATCTAGTCATAATCAATCTCAGATCTTTTCCAGGACTACTCTGGATATGGAACCTTATTTTAAAAAATAATTAAAACCCCATATGGTGCTTCAGATGGAGGGCTGGTGTTTTGGGGTGGGTCGTTTTTTTATTTTTCAAGAGACCATTTCAAGCTTTTGTTTGATAAATATTTACTTTGTTTCAAATTTTGTTGAAATTGATGCCCTTGTGGAGGTGATTCACAGTTTAAAATGCCTGTCTCAAAGTTTTTGAACTTCCTGTGTTACAAGGTATTTCTACTCTGTTTTATTTTGGGATAAGTATAAATTTGGGAATCTTGGAATTTTGTTTTGGGGTAGAGAGGTACCAAGATGGAACTGAATGCTGGGGAAGGAATGTTTGGCAGATACCTTTGAACCAACCCCTACACTGTTTCTCTGTTTTGAAAGCACTTTAGGTGTTTATCAAGAATTTTCAGTGCCTCTTCCTATTCTGGTTACATTCAATGAAAATGTTGCTATTAACTCAAACAAATAGTAAAAGTAGAACTGAATCACAGAACGGTTTGGGTTGTAAGGGACCTTAAAGACCATCTAGTTCCAACCCCCTGCCTTGGGCAGGGACACCTTCCAGTGGACCGTGTTGCTCAAAGCCACATCCAGTCTTGATCCCTTCCAGGGATGGGGCTCCCATAACTTCTCTGGGCAAACTGTTCCAGTGCCTCGCCATGTTCACTGTAAAAAATGTCTTCCTTATGCCCAAACTGAACCTACCTTCCTTCAGTTTAAAAGAATTGCCCCTTTCTCTGTCACTACAGGCTCTCGTTCTCTTTCTTATAATCCCTTTTTGTATATTGAAAAGCTTCAGTGAGGTCTCTCCGGAGCCTTCTCATCTCCAGGCTTAGCAACCCAACTCTCTCAGTCTTCAGAAGAGAGAAGTTCCAGCCCTCTAACCATTTTTGTGGCCCTCCTTTGGACCTGCTCCAACAGGTTCATCTTGTGCTGGAAATGCCAGAGCTGGATGCAGCGTTGTGGATGGAGTGTCACCAGAGCACATTGGAGGGACAGAATCACCTCCCTTGACCTTCTTTCATTCTGCTCCTGCTGTAGTCCAGGACAGGGTTGGCTTTCTGAGCTGCAAGTGCACATTGACGAGTCCTGTCCAATTTTTTACTGATCAATATCCCCAGGTCTTTCTTTGCAGGGCTGCTCCCTATCCATTCATCCCCCAGCCCACATGGATCCTGGGTATTGCCCTGACCCAGGAACAGGACCTAGCATTTGGCCTTGTTGAACATTAAGAGTCAATGCAATGGAGTCAAAAAAGAAACTGCTAAATGGGTCAGCCAAAATGAAAATATATTCTGTTGTCTTGTGAAATGTATTCAAGGTGTGTACTGAATTGATAATTTATTAAAAAAAAAAATTTAAAAGAAATTGATAGTTATGTATGTTCAGTAATATCCACAAGAACTTTGCCAAGGGATTCTGCACATACTGTTGTTTTGATTTTGTTTATGATACACTTTTTAAGCTATGTCAGGATTAATTTTCTTATTGCCTATTAAGTCTCCTCTTATTCCTCCATAGGTAAGAAATCTCTGCTACATGGTAAGCAGGAGAGAGAAACTGAAGTTGTCCCACAGTAAAGTACATGAACAGGTCTTCAATTTGCAAGTCCAACTCATTAATCAGGAAATCGCTGCAGGTAATCATATAAATGTAAAATATTTACAAATTCTGCCTGTATTTAAACTAGAACAGTGTGTTCTCTGTATGTTCCTGCATAGTTTTTAACACATAAAACTGCCTTGAAAAACTTTCCCCAAGTACTCCATCAGTGGAAGTAACAACATACAGAGAACTCTTTAATCTCTTAAAATGTTTACTTGAATATTTCTTTATTTTTTTGGCTGTTTCTGGTACATGCCTATTGCTTATTAGTCAGTGTGGTAACCAGATAGCAGAAAGGAGCTGATGGTGATCTCTTAGGTTTTTCCTTCCTTGGGCTGCTGGCACTTGTTCCCCACAGCAAGCTCTGCATTGGTGCTTAGTTCTCCAGCTGAGAAAGCTTTTTTTTTCTTGCTGTCAGAAGTTGTTTCCTTCAGGCAAGAGAGAAGAGTGACTGATAGGAATCATTACTGTTCTCGTGGTGCCTCATGAGCCAAAAAGGCATTTCTTAGCATACCATCTACAGTTGCTCTCCGTCCTTCAAAAAGAGTTTAAGTACTCTTGTTATTAATAGTGACTAGCAACTGTTCAGGAATGATGAGGTGCCAAACCCCACTGTGCCCTTCACTTTTGTAGCAACTTTTTGAAATAAGGAGCACAACATTTTGCAAGAGGAGAATATGCTTTACAGTGTAATTACTGTGGGGTTTTTAATAGGGAGGGCAGCTGTTTTTCTATGCCCAGTTAAGATCTCTCTGGTCTGTCAAAAACCGTATTTTTAATGACCAGTTTAGGGTGAAGTCTTTGTGCTTTTTTTCTCTACCCTTAAAACATGGATAGGTTTCATTAGTATTGATAAGGTAGATTTTTTTGACCTGTTTTAAATCAGACTAGTACGCTGTGGAAGCACCAGTACTCTGAAGCACTTTGGTTTTGTGTTATTGTATTTTAGTAGAAATGTCTACTTAATTTATTTTATGTCTTTACAAACACAAGTGATTTTTTTTTTAATGGTTATTACAAAAGCTTGGTAACTACTTTGCAATGGGTGCTGTATGCACGTAATATCATAACGACTAATATATTAGAGTGAAAAGACTTTTCAAGTGTAGAGAATTTTATAATACAAAGCAGAGAGTTGAACTAAATCCAAATTGAAACTCAGTTTGAAGCATTGTTTTTTCTTCATCCAAAAATGAATATGAACCTTTTTTTACAGCTTTGTTGGAACTACTTCAGTCATTATCTCAAAACTAGTTCAATTCACTGGCTGAAAGCCCTGTAAAAAGGGCACATTGTTGTTTTTAATGGAAATGCTTAAATGCTTACCTAAATTCCGAAGTGGTGGTTAATTTGGTACAGTTTTTGTTACCCCGGCTTCTCTTTAATGTCCTAAAATAATTTCACGCTAATTGTTTGCAAATGCTTCTTACTGTTGCATGACCTTATAATGGACTATAAAACTTGTTATGGATAAAAACCCAAATTACCCATTTTAAAAATGCTTTTTTTTTTTTTCCTGCTCCCTCATCTCTTTCTCCTGTAGGCCATACCCTGACAAGTGCACTAGAGAACACACTGTTCTACCCACCTCCCAGGATCACCCTAAAGTTAAAAATGCCCAAATCAGCACTAGGAGACTGCAAAAATAACTCTCTGAAGCCTGGCAACAGACCGCTTTCTCCTGACAGCAACAGCACTGTTTACAGCAAACGGAGCGTGCCGATGTCAAAGGAATCATTTGAAATTAAAGCAAAATCCTACACCAGGTATCAGCACGACAGCAGAAGTAATGGGTTGCTGGCAGGGATTGGCAAGCCTCGGAGCGAGGCAAAGGATTGTGGCCCCACGCAGATGATGGAGTTTCACCGGGGTCAGCCGTCTGGGAAGCCTTTAGCGCTCCAGGCTGCCTTGCATGGACAGTCTTCCATTGGGAATGGGCGGGTGCAGCAGGAGAACTCAAGGCTGATGGCCAAGTCCAATGGTCTGATGGGCAGGGCTGGAGACGTGAGCCAGAGAGACAGCTCCAGCCAGACACCCTACGAACAAGAGTCCATGCTCACAGCTCACTTGGCCAGCCAGAGCGGTTTCAGAAAATCCACCATAGAACATTTTAGCCGGTCCTTTAAAGAGGCTACCAATAGTCTAGTAAGGACCACGGAAGATCTCCGGTGCTGTGAAAAGCCAACAAGAAGACTTGCAACAAAAGATCGCTTGTGGAGCAAGCAGACACTTGAAGGTGCTCCATACCAGGACAATGATGGGTACTGTCCTGACTTAGAGCTGAGTGACTCTGAAGCAGAAAGTGATGAAAACAAAGAGCAAGTGAGGTTAAGACGAAGTAGCTCAGAGAGAGAAAGCCCAAGTAAGGACTTTGGAAGAGATTGTCACAATAGAAACAAAAAGAATATGATTTCTCACAGTTCGGTACAAAGGTGATTAGAAGCCCCCACGGGGTAATTCAGCCTTTATGTAGTCCAATGTACCAGTGCAAAGCTCGTTATCAAAGGGTTCCAGAAAATATTCTAGGACCTATGTTAAGAAGAGCTGCAGTAGGGAATGGGGGGAGGGGAGAGAAATCAGAGTAGTTTTGTTCAACTGTGAATTGGTTTGCAGTCTTTGCAAGGCTAGCTCAGTTGTCCACGAAGCCATGTGGAGATCGCGTGTTTTACTAGAGGGTAACATCTGGGAGAGCACGAAGCGGTTAATCTTTGCATAAATTCAGGAACCCGCTTCCCCCTTGCCAGCTTATGTGTGAGGCAGCGTGTTCATGTGAAGTCAGTCTTGTGATGGTGGACAGATTTTAAAGAAGTCCTTGCATTGCTCTAATTTGTTGCAAGAGACTGCAAACGGACACACTGACACTGCATCTTTACAGCACCTGCAGCATGGCTTTGATCCAGCAATGCACTTGCGGATGTGTTAGGAGGTTAAGCATGTGAAAAGTCCTGCTGGTTTCCCCGGGAACGGTTGTGCTCAGATCTCCGAGCACATGCCGGTGTGCTCTGCTGGATCAGGCCCTAAGTGACTACTAAGTGATGATCCCCTTCTGCAGGAGGCTTTGAACTGCAGTGGCGTTTGCAGGCTCCTTGCGGAGGGTGGAAGCAGGCGTCGCTGGCGCTGCCAAACTTGCTGACCTCTAGATGTGCCCCCGTTCCCTGCTTTTGCTGAAGGTTTTGTTTCTCTTCACAATAACTCGCTTACTTTGTAAATATAAAACTTCTAGTACTTCAGTTTTTTTAATCTCTGTACATAGTTGCTTGTTGTGGGATGCACTTGTAAATATTTTACCCAGCTAACAAGTACAGATGGCTAATTTTGTGGATAGTGTTTACAAAAGTAGATGTACTACTTCAAAGAAAAATGCTATTTGACATTTACATTTAGGCAATCACCGGTGATGCCAGGTTCCTCTTGAAACTGAGATTTCTTATCCAGAGGTGTTTTTACCTGGTATTTTTAAAGTAGGCTGAATTTGAAATAATTTTGGCTGAATTTTTTTTGCAGGTGCAGATTTTCAACCCTAGTTGCCTGAACACAGGCATAGGAGCCTTCTGGCATCTGGGTCTGTAAAATTTTAGCCAATCATCATTTGGAATATGGGTTTTTTAATTGCTGAAAATCTACTATTTTATTAAGCTGTTTTTCAACCTCTGGATCAGTTGCTATTTCCCAGTCTAACACATTTTTTGGTGTGCCCTTTAAAATCAATTGTCAAATAGTGACTAAATTTCAGCCAGTACTGAGGAAGCGAGAAGGGAAGGGAATCCCTTTCTGTTTGTTTCAATGACAGGGGGATTTTTGTTTAAATGCAAACTTAACTTCTTGTTTTCCAGATGATGTTGTGTTGATCAACGAAGTAACTGCACTGTTTTTCTCTGAAATGCTGTACATTTCATAAATACCCAACATCCTCTGCCCCCACATCACTGGCTGAAATGGCCCATAGGTTGTATAGGGCATGTCACACAGCTCCTCTCTGTTGAGGGTTCAATTTTGTCTGGAAACAAAAGATGTTCCCTGCCCAGCGTGAAGATGACTATGCAGAATCCAAACAGCAACTTGTTTTTCTTCATGGTTTTAATTTATTGCTTTTAGCTTGGGAAATGGCAACAACATTTTCAGATTTGTTTTAAACTTTGAAATCTCCCTAGTTGCAATAGGACTAGCAGGTCAGGGGCTGGAGGACTCTTCAGTAGTGAAATAATAAAAGAAAAGTATACTTGGCAAACTTGCTCTGTTTGCTTCATGCATCTTATTTTTTTTTTTTTTTTTTACTTTTTGATTTTATGTATATTTGTGTAATTGATCTTTCTAGAGCTGTATCTTCAAAATTATTTCTTTTGGTGTAAATATGCAGTAGCATTTTAGGTTTCCACATATTTTATTTTAATGGGAAATGCTTTGTGTTCTAAGCCATGGGTCATTCAGAAAAAGTAAACAAATATCTATTAATTTGTATTCTGGTTCTGATTCTCTTAGTTCTCCTTCAATATTTATTAGTAATCCTCTCTCACTGGTCTTGAAATTTTATGAAGCTTTTATTGGGAACACTTATTGGGAGGTCAGCAAAGTGTTCATATTATTTTGTGGCTGGAATCATATGACAGAAGAGAGGGAAAATGGTGCTTTAGCAAAACTCAGCGTTTCTGCTCTTCTGGGGTTATCAATTCAACTGTTTCCAGTCTGGGCAATGGTTTTGCTAATTTTTACATGATCTTAATAAACATATGAAGGAGCCCTTGGTTATGTAGTTCTCAAGTATTGTCCCCAAAGTGCATTTGCTAGTTTTTATTGTGCGTTCGGTGGCTAACTGTTTGAAGTATTACCTCTTAACCTTATTTGTCAATTTTTTTTGTGTTTTTGCATTTTGTTTTATATATATAAATATATATATATATATTCAATTTTCCAAGATGGACTCGGTCTTTTTCAGATGTCCCCTTTTTACAAGTACTTTTTCATTAAATTATGAAACTGCTAACAATATTTTCATTTGTTGTGATTTATTCAGGGCTTTTCCCTCTGTGTCTGGCAGGCTGTGAAACTCATCAGTACTGTGTCCATCAGGAATAAATTATTTCTGCAGATCTGGCAATGCTTTAACAAGTTAAGTATCCAGGAAAACCCTTCCCCTTCAGCCTCCCAAAAAAAAGTCGCTGAGCATTAATTTGCTGTGTATAGCAAATAGTGCAAGCCTGGCTTTTGTTTCTGCCTAGCTGAGCAAATGTAGCAGACTGTTTGCTGCCCTGGCCTCACTTTTCAATGTATTTGCTTATGCTGTAGTATGGCTGGTTTTCCCTGGTTGGACAAAGTGAGTTATAGAGGAAGAGCCATAGCCAGGCCTTCTGTCTGATCTCTCCTCTTGTACACCCGCAGGACGTGCATAGCTAAACACAGCCTGCTATTGCCCTGTGTGTGCAAAGGGCAAATCAGTTCCAGCAAGTTCCCGGGTGGATGTTTCATGTCGGTTTTACTTGGACTATTGCTGTAGTTCCCCCTGCTCCCACAGGCCGGTGCTGTGATGTACCTTGCTGGCAGAGAGGAGCTGCTCCCTGTGCTAGAGCAGGGAAGAAGGCAAGGGGAAGAGGAAGGTGGAGAGAAAGGAGTGGGTGTAGCTGCGCAACTGATCCCATAGCATCCCTCGTGCTCTGACCGGCTCTGCAACTGGCAGCATCCAAAAGAGAGATGGGGAATTGGCAATCGGGGTGTTGCAGGCAGCAGTGACCCTCCCTGCCAGCAATGAGTCTGGCAGCGGCAGAGTGAGTGGGAGGCTGAGCAGCCAACGTGCTTGTGGCCTGGTGTACGGGCAGGAGTGACTGAGCAGGTGCCCCAGGCAGGCTGGGACTGGAGCTGGAGATAGGCTGGGTGAAATGGAGCTCAAGTCCCTCAGCTGAAAAGCAAACAGGAGGTAAAAAAAGGGGGGAAAGGCGGTAAAGATTCAGATAGAAGAGAAGAAAAATCATCACTAGGAAGAAGCAGTAAGTGTTGGACTGTCAGCTGTTTTTCAGGACCAGGATTTCTTCTTCCCTGAAGGCAATCTTGCAACAGATTCCAGCAACAGACTTCCTTTTTTGACTTTCTGATTGGCGGCTTCTAATTTCCTGTGCAAATACAGTCTGCTTGTGGTTGGGAAGTGGGAAAGACAGAGCCAAGGAAGGAAATTGGTATACCATTATTTTGGAAACAGTTGCTGTTGGTTTGTAGAGTCTTTTCAAATAAGTGTGGTTAGTGGGTGATAGAAACTTGGGCCAAGCACTAACAGGGGCAGTGTGGTGATTCCCAGCACTTTGATTTCTGCATTTGTGTTTCTGTTCTAAGAGAAATGTTTCTCAGTTAGAATTTGCATATGTAATTTGTAGAATGTTTTCTTTGCACCATGAATTCCAAACCACGGAAGGAGAAATTGCAAACGTTTGGATATTAACTGTAAGCCTGAAACATTCACTTGATTTTGAAGTGGCACTGCTGATGACTAGGCCTGGATGTACAGGCTGTACTGCAGACGCATGATGTGTGTCTGATACTGGGAGGGACCGAGCGTTACCAAGTGTTCAAAGCCTGCCTCTGTGAGCTGCAAAGATAATCCAGCGAAACCACTCATTTTGATCGTTGGGAATTTTGATGATCCCAGTGCTTGTAAAGGTTTAGCACTGCAGGGAATTGACACATCTAGTAGGAAAGCATGCTTTTGATGCGAATTAAGGAACAAAAGGAAGCTGCTTGCACAACCTGGGAGCTTGGCATGCGAGGGAAAAACACCGGGGAAGGGCAGAGATGGAAAACAATGGAGAGCCTCAATGCGGCTTCTTTAGGAAGAAGTGAAGACTTGCAGAATTCTGGGTTTTGGTTTTGTGAGATATGTCGTGCTACTGCTGCTTCTGAACCTTGTGCCTGCTTCAGAGCTCAACAGGCTATTGCCCCTCCTGGGGCACAATTCTGCAACATATCCCTCTTGCAGAGCTGATCCTGGGATAACTGCTGCTAGGCTCTGCTCCTGACCAGGTCAGCACATCTGTAGGGATGTGACAGAAGTGGATTAAAGTGACTGCAAGCACAGCGTTCTGAAAGAAAATGTTGCACAGCAGTGGGGGTAAGTTGTTTGAAAATAGCAGATGTGCATGCCTATTTCTGTTCCTCATTTTAACCCCTCCGCAGATGGCTTGGATAGGTTTGTGACTCCGTGGTTAAGGAGAAGCAGCCTCAGATATTCGCTCATTAGTTTTTCTGCCTCTGTGCATACAGCTTCCACAAAATCTTTCTTTTTCCAGTAGGCTTCTTTTGTGTGGGACAACCTCCTGGATCCACCTTGCCCTGCCCTTTCTCAGGGACTCTTCTTTTGTTTCAGGCTGGGCAGACCCTCCC